ATTAAAAATTTTTTAAAAAATAAAATAAAATGAAAATAATAAAATAGGTTTATGAAAATCTATCTATAAAAATGGGCAGTGGGATGGATTTGATTTAATTTGACTATCGTTTGCTGACTCCTGTAGTAAAATGGACTCCGTAGTCACCATTTTGAATAGCCACATAATGTTCTAGCTAATTGGAGACACTAATTTCATTGAGTAAGACTCTACCATAGCTGCACATTTAGGGTTTTTTTGTTCTTGCTGTGGATGGATGTTAACATAAATAATGTACTATTATAAAAGAGTATTTAGTGACAGTTTTTCTCAGTTTTGATTAGTTTTCTTAACATAAATGTAAGTGTGAGTAATCCAATGACGAGGCCAAATGCTGTTGGTATTATGTTCTGCCAAACTGCTCTAAATGGGTCAATTAAAAAAATTTTTTTTTGAGAGAGCACGAGTAGAGGAGGGGCAGTAAAAGAGGGGAAGAGAGGATCCAAAGCAATCACTGCACTGACAGCACAGAGCACAATGTGGGGCTCAAACTCACAAACCGGGAGATCACGACCTGAGCTGGAGTCGAACACTCAACCAACGGAGCCACCCAGGGGCCCCCAAATGGGTCAGTTTTAACGTCGTCAATAATATATACCTATTTCCACACAATTTTTCCAATATCAGATTTTAGTTTCACTAGTTTAACTGATGCAACTTATGAGTGGAGAGAACTATTCCCAAACCTACTTTTTACAGGTAAGTTATCTACAGCTGCCAGATGCTCAGTGGTCTGCATTAAGTCAAACATCCTAATAACGGGAGGGCTGACATATGGACTAAGTCCTCTGAACACCATTCTCCGCTTCAACATGCTTCTCACAGGGGCCACTGCTCTCGATGAACTGTCAGAAGAAGACATTACAGAATGTTTTCCCTCTTTGTCTTAACACTGTGTCATGTTAGTCATTCTGATTGGCTGTGACTCACTTAGAAATACCACACACCCCGAGATATATAGAAAGACCATGGGGACTTGGACTTCCGGGGAAGATGGCTGAGTGGGAAGATACTACAGAACTCACTTCCTCCCATGGATACAAGATAACACCATCCCCCGTGTAAATAACCCAGACAATGATCCAAACACTGGCAGAGCAGAGTCGCCACAGCTAAATACAGAGAAGAGGCCTCATCGAAGGGGGTAGGAAGGGCAGAGGTGCCCTCAGAAGCTACACGGACCCATGGGACTGGCCACAAGAGGGAGGGATGGCATGGGCGCAGAGAGGGTACAGACACAGCCCCTCATACCAAGCACCCCAGGCAAAGGAACCTGCATGGGGAAGATGAATCCCCCTCACATTTTGCTTTGAAAATCAGAGAGGACTAATTTCATGAGTTCTTAAAAACAGCAGGGCTTAAAACCTGAAACTTTAATGTTTATTCATTTGTGAGAGACAGAGGTACCCGCTCTGCCCCTCCCCCAATTTGTACTGTCTCTGTCTTTCTCAAAATAAATGAATAAACTTAAAAGTAAAAAAAAAAGATTTTTAATTAAAAAATTTTTTAATATTTTATTTATTTATTATTTATTTCTGAGAGAGAGAGAGAGAGAAAGCGAGCAGATGAGGGAGGGGCAGAGAGAAAGGGAGACACAGAATCTGAAACAGGCTCCAGGCTCTGAGCCATCAGCACAGAGTCTGATGTGGGGCTCGTACCCACAGACCACGAGATCATGACCTGAGCTAAAGTTGGACGCTTAATCGACATTATGTACCTTTACAGAAAGAGTTTGCAAACTCCAGGCTGAGAAGATACTAACATCAGAAGGAAAGTGAAACCTTAATTTGCACATAGAGCAACACTAACTGTAAAGTTTCTTCCGTGTGCACACCGAATACACATGTCCTGTTACCACATAGGTAAATAGACCTAACATTGACATGGCTGGACTCTAGAGGTGAAATGAAAGGACTTCTTTTTCGAAATCCTTTTGCTGTTCCTGTCTTATTTGTTTTATTTTTAAATTTTATTTATCTATTTAGAGCGAGGAGAGCGGGAGAGGGACAGAGAGAGAGAATCCCAAGCAGGCTCTGCATTGCAGTGCAGAGCCCATCGTGGGGCTGGAACTCATGAACCGCGAAATCCTGACCTGAGCTGAAGTTAGACGCTTAACTGACTGAGCCACCCAGGTGCCCCTTTGCTGTTCCCATTTTAAATTAATCAACCACCATTTTAATCCCAGCCAGGGTGCTGTGAATGCCAATATGCCGGCCCGTGGTAAGTATGTGGGCACTGGGCGCCTGGCACCGTTGGCAGGGGCCAGAGATTTTTACCTTCCATGTGCTCCAGGTGGTACATTTTCGCATTGACAGTGTTGCTCTCCTGCCTCAGTAGCTAGTTCTTTCCCCTGCTGCATCCCTGGACTGTAAGCAGTTGATGGGTCAAGTAAAGCGCTGTTGACAGGAAGCTCATGCCATTGCAGTGTTATTCAGGCTGCCTGCTGCCAATGAACAGTAGGGAGGTAATTTATTAGCCTTCACACTGCATTGATGCTTAGAAACGTGATGCTTGCTCTTGGAGCCTCTCAAAGCTTGGGCCCGTCTGCAAACTGGAGAAACAAAACTCATCAGGAGTGTGTTAATCTTTATTATTTTTTTAAGTTTACTTATTTATTTTGAGGGGGGTTGGAGAGGCAGAGAGAGAGGGAGAGAGCATCCCAAGCAGGCTTCGCACTGTGAGCACTGAAGCTGATGTGGGTTTGAATGCAAACACCTATCACATTTGTAATTTTCAAATTTTCTTTACATATCTGGCTGATGTCTGGCTCTTTGGCTAAAATGCAGGCTTCATGTAAGCCTTCAGATAAATTGATTGATTGAGTGAATGAATAAATACTTAAATATTTTCATATTCTAAAATGCATCAAAATGTATACAGGTTTTTTTTCTTTTTAAAGTTTATTCATTTTGAGAGGGAGAGAGCGCATGAGCAGGGGAGGGGCAGACAGGGAGAGAGAGAGAAGCCCATGCAGGCTCCCTGCTGTCAGCACAGAGCCCTACGTGGGGCTTGAATTCACGAACCGTGAGATCATGACCTGAGTTGAAACCAGGAGTCAGACACTTAGCTGACTGAGCCACCGAGGCGCCCGGGGTGGGGGGTGGGGGATGTTAATCTTTAAAGGCGATGGGTCAAAAGCAAGTCAACTTAGTAGTTACCACCAGTGACATGGACAAGGCTCCTTTTCGTCTCAGAATAATATTGTACTCTCTATTCACCAGCAGGAGGGTTCTAGAATAGGAAGGTTGCAAAGTGAGGCGAGACCTTCACCCAATCAGTCAATTCTTAGACCTCAGTTTCCCATCTGGGGAAGTGAGGCCTGCATCAGATGCATGCTTCTCACCTCTGGCCAAAGTAGAATCCCTTGGGAGTCAGAATTGTGGGGGTTGGAGGCAAGAAGGAGGAACCGGGGTGCCTTTTAACCAAACTTTCTTTAAAATCCATCTGGATGATTCTGACATGTGTCCAGAGTTGAGAATGTCTGGGCTAAATATTTTCTAAATTTCTTTGTGTTCATGTTTTAGAATATACACATGTGTACACACATTGTGGGGGTATGAGTTTTATTTTGCCATCAAATGGCAACGTCAAGCTATGAAAAGAAATGATTATTTTAGGAGTATATCCACCATTTATTGCATTCCCTATGTATGCCCAGGTACTTGCTACATGTCCTTAGTTTTTGAAGTAAAAATTATCTGCAAATCAAAACTGCAATGAAATATCAACTCACGTCTCTTAGGATATATCTGTTACTAAAAAGACCAGAGATACCAGTTGCTGGTGAAGATGTGGGGAAAAAGGAGCTGTCGTGCACTGTTGGTAGGAATGTGAGCTGCTCCAGGCGCTCTGGAAAACAGTGTGGAGCTCCCTGAAGAAATTAAAATAGAACCTGCCCTGTGACCCAGTAGCCTCACCTCGGGTACGTCTCCGGAGAAAACAGTATCACTATCTCTAGGAGGCATTTGCACTCCTGTGTTCATTGCAGTATCGTGTGCAGTTTCCAAGGTGTGGAGACAATATAGGGTCCCTCAGCAGATCTGATGAGTTGATAAAATGCGAGATGCCTGTGCACACACGCACACGGGCGTGCATACACACACACACAGGAATATTATTTAGTGTTTAAGAAGAATGAAATCTTGCTGTTTGCGACCACATGGCTGAATCCGTAGAGTGTTCTGCTCAGTGAAATAAGGCAGAGAAGGACCAATACTTCCTGGTATCATTTATATGTAGAATTTTGTTTTGTTTTGTTTTTTAATGTTTTATTTATTTCTAGGAGAGAGACAGCATGAGTAGGGGAGGGTCAGAGAGAGAGGGAGTCACAGACTCTGAAACAGGCTCCAGGCTCTGAGCTGGCAGTCAGCACACAGCCCGACGCGGGGCTCGAGCCCTTGAACCGTGAGATCATGACCTAAGCGAAAGTCGGATGCTTAACCGACTAAGCCACCCAGGCGCCCCAATATATGTAGAATTTTGAAGACATTAAACTCATGGAAGCAGAGAGTAGAATTGTGGTTGCCAGGGGTTGGAGGGTGGGAGAAATCGAGAGAGGCTATAAAGTAAAGTAAAAAGTGTTCAGTTGAACCTTCCTGATAGACCTCTGAAGTTGGTATCATTATTATCATTCCAACTGAAGCTGAAGAAACTATTATCAGGGATCAGCTATTTTGCCCGATGTCATAGAGCTGATAGACAAAAGGGGAATTTTAATGGAGCCTTGTTTCAAGTCTAAAGCTGAATATGTATTTGTTTCTCTCTCTCTCTTCCTCTTTCTTTCGAGAGACCGAGAGTGCACGCACACCACGAGCGAGAGAGGAACAGAGTGAGAGAGAGAGAATCTTAAGCGGGCTCCACGACCAGCACTGAGCCCAGCCCAGAGCCCAGCCCAGAGCCGGATGCAGGACTTGATCTCACGACCGTGAGATCATGACCTGAGCCGAAATCAAGAGTCTGACGCTTCACTGACTGAGCCACCCAGGCGCCCCTCTGCTGTATTCTTTTCAAAGGTGATTTTTCTCAAGCTACCCAAGTTATTTTGTGTATTTGTTAGTGTATAATACCAGCCACCCAACTTAAAGATTCCCGGGTCAGCGTTCTCAGACATTTGCGTAAAGGTTATTTAGACAAAATACTGGCACGTGTCTAGTGTTTGGCTATTAAAATTTTTCATTCGTAGCAACAGGCTTTTGCAGAAAAACAGAATCAGTAAGCTAGACATGCACACAGACATACATGTGCATTTATCTGTTTATTTTAAGGAACCGGTTTATGCAGTTGTGGGGGCTACAGATCCGAAGTCTGACCCTCAGGCAGGAGTCCCGGGGCAGAATTCCTTCTTGTTCAGGGAAACCTCAGTTTTACTCTTAAGACCTTTCAACTTATTGGATGTGGCCCACCCATGTTATCAAGGATGGTCTGAGGACTACTGACCATAGATGTCAGCCACAGCAGCACCTAGCTTAGTGTGAGGCTGGATCACCGGATGCGTGGAAACCCACCAGTAGAGCATTGCATGTGGGCGCTGACACACTCCGGCTGGAAAATTCCAAGGGACTAAATAAGGTAACAGTCTGCTGTTAAGAAGAAAGTGCATTATAGTTCTTACCATGTCTTGTCTGCAGCAGGTGGCCCAGTATTGGAGTTACTAGACAACACTTTGCTGCTCGAAAGTGTCCATGATATTCATGCCCAAACCGTCAGCATGTATACTACAGTCCTCGCTCACTCTTTGGGTACATTTCCTGGTGGTGTGTTTTGAGCATAAGCCTACCTAGCGCTGCAGCCCAAGTGTACTGTGATGCTGCCAGTCCACATGATTGCAGAAACTCTGTCTGCTTCAGCCAAAAAATCAGTACCTTTGTAGCAGTCAACGAGATAATGCCAAATCTGGATATTTCACATAATACGTACAGGCTGCAGTCACAACTTTCAAAGAAAATGATTGAGAGAATTCAGCAGACGGGAAAGTTCGAGAAAGCATATGGAACCCCTTAGCATCCTGAAGGTTAATATCCATTTGGGCGGTCAGTGTTTCAAGTTACTGTTGCTCGATGCCAGTGCTGTTATGAAAGAAAAGTACAGTTTATAATGAGATTAATGATTCCATCATCATTGGCTCCTCGCCCACCAGGAACACCTAAGGGGCCGTTAAGGGTACCCTGTAAGTCTGCAGACACACGTGAGCTCTGGAGATACGCATCTGTACAGTACTTTGTTTTTGGAAATCAATAAAATAATGTAAGCATTCATCGAATACTTCCTGTGTGCTAGACTCTCCATAAATATAAGCTCATTTACTCTTCTCAGCAACCCTGTGTGGTTGGTGCTGTCATTCATATTATAGATGAGGAAACTGAGGCTGAGAGGCCACACAGGTAGTACATGGCAGAACTGGGATTTAAAACTAGATCTTTCTGATTCCTATGATGTTTATTTTTCATTATGCCACTTTGTGTCCCCGTAACTTCATTCATTATTTTGTCGTGCGGAAACAGAGACCTCTTGTTTACTAGCTAAGCTCATGTGTTTATCATTTAAAGTTATGTAACTATAGATTATTTCAAAGTTGTCAAAAACTGTCCCTTGTCACATATTTTGCTAGTAGATTTTCCTGTGGGGCCATTCTTAGCTGATAAAAGAAATAATCATTCTTGGGGCACCTGGGCAACTCAGCTATGGACCCCTGCCCCTGTTGGGGTCTGAGCTGACAGTGCGGTCTGCTTGGAATTCTCTCTCCCCCTCTCTCTCTGCTCCCCCTCTATACACACGTGCACGCTCTCTCTCTCTCTGTCTCTCTCAAAATAAATGAACATTTAAAAAAAAGAAAGAAAGAGAATAATTCTCATGCCCGCTTTTAGAGACCTGTATTAAAAACGAATGGTTGGCCCAGTGCCCTTCTAGATGTCAGATACTAGAGTAGCATATCAGGGGTTTGCCCCCTCTTGAAGAGCATGCTTTTTTATTTGCGTATCTGCTGCAGTTGGCCAAGGACGTGTGGCACATGGTTGATTCGATTGATTTTTTCTTTTTTTTTTAATGTTTATTTATTTTTAAGATAGAGAGAGAGAGAGCATGAGTGTGGGAGGGGCAGTGAGAGAGGCCCAGAATCTGAAGCAGGCTCCAGGTTCTGAGCTGTCAGCACAGAGCCCAACGCGGGGCTCAAACTCATGAACCCTGAGATCATGACCTCAGCCAAAGTTGGACGTTTAACCGACTGAGCCCCCCCAGGTGCCCTGGATTAATCATTTCTCGTGAGACTCTTCCTCATATGATCTATCTTTTCACAGTAAGAAAGCGGTGAGAAATAGTTTTAAAGGTATGAAATGGACTTTGTCGTTTGTACATCTGAATCAGATGTGCATCAGGTGACATCTAGGTGACTACATGACAGGACCAGTGGGGTCAAATGAAAACTGGACACAGGATTTTGCCAGATCCTGCTGCGGTAAATGAACCTGAAAGAGTACACCTGGGCTGATGATCACGTGCCCATATAATTTATTCTCCTGGACGGGATCCTTTCAGGAGTGAAAGATTGTGGGCATTAACCTGAACAGAGGATCACACTGTGCCATGGGCACTGCCGTGCTCTTACCAGTTGCTGTGTCGGTATTTTAATGCTAAGTTAACATGAACTTAAGTTGTCATTCTTCTTAGTTCTAATTCAACCAACATTCATTAATCATCTACTCTGTGCTAGGTTCTGTGGTGGGTGCTGTCTACAGTACTGGAGCATTGGTCCAATACTACAAGGTGAACACACCACTGGACGGACAGGGACAGAAGTAACCACTCCTATTGTAATTTGGTTGGTCATAAAGATAGGAGAGTTCTCTGGGAGTATACTGAAGGTGATAAATTGTGACCCAAATGTGGAATGGAGGAGAAGAGGGTCATGAAAGACTTGAAATGTTTCAGCTACATCTTAAAGGATGAAGGTTTGGTTGAAAGTGGGACATTTAAGGGGAGCCTGGATGGTTCAGTGGGTTGAGCATCCAACTCTTGATTTTGGCACAGGTCGTGATCTCATGGTTCATGAGTTCAAGCCCCACAGTGGGCTCTGTGCTGACAGCATGGAACCTGCTTGGGCTTCTGTCTCCTCTCTTCACCTCCTCCTGTCTTAAAAATAAACAAACACTTAAAAAAAAAAAAAAAGAAATGACATTTAAGACACCATATATAATGGCACTTGGGTAAGAAGGTACATGAGAGTTAGGAGAGAGTAGAGTACATTTGTGTGTCTAGAATATGAAGAGTGTAGGAGAACAAAGTGACAAATGAGGCCCGAAAAGTTGGTTATGAGCAAGATCGTGAGGGTGTTATCACCTTAGGGGCCTCTCCAGGAGAAGAAAAACCAGAATACTTCTCATGTAAGTCACTCAAAAAGAGAATCGGATAATAACATGACTAAAGTAAATTTCAGTGCTTTCCCCAAGTAACATATAGTCACCCACGTTTGTTCACTCATCACTCCAGTAGGACTCATGGCGTGGTCCCCAAACCAGTGGCACAGGCTTCGCCTGCAGGCTTGTTAGCAACGCCGATTCCTGGCCCCTAAATCCCAGCTACCATGTCCAGATCTCTGGTGCTGGGATCCAAGAAACTGCTTTGGCTGGCTCTCCACGGGCATTCTTCTGCATATTCCAGTGTGAGAGCCGCTGCATTCACCATTTATTGAGTGCCTCTGTGCTTTCAACTTTTGTGGTGGACCCTGGAGCTGGAGGCGAGTTGAATTAGGTACAGTCTCAACATTTGATGAAAACTCTTCTGTGAGAATCAAGGCACAAAGTGACGCAACTGTCAGCTAGGCTAAAGCTCTACTGCTAAGTGTTCCATGATTTCAGTACTAAGAATTTAAGGTATGTTCCAAAGTTTTCCAGAGAAACATGGGAATTGCTTCTTAGCATCTAAAGCAAACATTTGTTTCATTGTGTATAGGTTTTCAACACAGCATGAATTTGTCTCCAAATCCTAGTGAGGGTTTGGAAGAATGCTATACTTATTTAGGGTTTATCTTTTTAATAACTTGGTTTACATTTTCTGCCCTTGTGATGTGTTCATCCAATCGGAAACATTTAAGCACTTGATAATTAATCCTTAGTCATGGGAAATTACTATTTTTTTAATCATGAAATAGTTCAAATGTACTGAAATGCCCGTGAAGATATAACCTGTTGTCATTTTGTTGTAAGAAATATTTTAATGTATATCAAATCAGACACCAAGAAGTAAATAGAAAGAATAGAAAAGGAGTAATTTTTGAGGCTGTAAGGCCTGAATATTTTCCAGAACTGGTAAAAGTCATGAACCCTTGGCCAGAGGAGACACAGGAATACATAGTAGGAGATATAAAAGAAATACACACATTGTCATGAAAACCAAAGAGAAAGATCTCCAAATCAATGACCAAGAAAACAAGATGGACTAATTATTTCTCAGAGTTGAGAAAAAACAGTCGTTAACACAGAACTTCGCATACCTAGTCAAACCATCTTATGAGCGTGTGGGAAAAATAAAGACATGTAAGATAAACAAAAGTGAGAGAGTATACAAATGGTCTTCACTGAAGAAAGTGTGAATGATTTATTCAAACAGAAGAAATACTCTGGAAGGAACATCTGAGATGCAAAAAAGAAGAGTGAAGAAATAAATTATGAGATAAATAGGTAAAACTAAATAAAAGGTTTCTGGATAAAATACCACCAAATATTATATAAAACGTTTGGTATGTAGTAAGTTTATAACCATTTAGTTAGAAGTTGCATTGTGATTTCTCAGTAGTTATTTAGGAGTGTGCATTTATAGGTATATGTTGAGTTTTTATTGTTGACTTCTAATATGATTGTGTTGTCAGATATTTTTATCTGTGTGATATAAATTCTTTGAAAATTGTCAAAGTACTTTATGTAACAGTTAGGCTTCAGCAGCACTCAAGGTCTAGGAAACAGGGGCATCTGGGCGGCTCAGTCAGTTAAGTGTCTGACTCTTGATTTTGGCTCAGGTCATGATCTTCCAGTCGTGGGATTGAGCCCTGCACCAGGCTCTGCACTAACAGCACAGGACCTGCTTGGGATTCTCTCTCTCCCTCTCTTTCTGCCCCTCCCTCCCTTCCTCGCTCTTTCTCAAAACGAATAAACAAACCTAAAAAAAAAAAAAGATCTGGGAAACCAAAGCCACACTCAACTTAGATTTTGACAAAAATTTTCTTGAATAAGTTGAGAGAGGTTGGGGCACTTGGGGACCATGAACAGTGAGAAGGGACTGTGACCATCTCCGAACTTTATGGGACAAAGGGAGGAAACAGGTATTGCTGGAGCGCAGTGAAATGCAGAGCGATGGGAACGTGATGATCACCATGAAGACACAGACGTGCTATATGAAGCTAAGGTCCTAGATGGATACGGCTGCTGCTGGAACTATGGCACCCACCCAGCCCTGGAGGGGACAGAAGAAGATCACTGTGATCTCTGTTCATATTCTCCAGTCTTCTGCCAGAATCCCCCATTAGCCAGACCTAACTGGAAGCCCAAAGAGCCCAGGTCATGCAGCTTAGAGGAGCCACCACTTAGGGCATACAGCAAAGGAGAGAAAAGCAGAGAATAAATGGCAGAGAGGAGCAGACCTAGAAAACCAGCAAATTTCGTGAGATGCAACACAACATACTTTGTGTATGTCCTATTTTTGGTCAAAAGAGAATATTCACGTAGCAGTCATGGCCCATCCAGGAAAACCGAGATCATTCTAAATGTTTTACAAAAAGCAAATTTAATACAGAGGATTGGTTGGCCGGTGATATGAATGCAGAGAAACCAAATGGGAAAGGGAGCAATTGAGATTAGCAATAGCAGGAGCTGCATCACATCAAGGTCTACAGAGTTAGAGTAGGTCATGTTATCAGACACCAGGAACCAGGCCATCTTTCTGAGACCTGGCTATTCTGCCGGGGGACATAAGAATTCACAGTTTTAATAATTTTTTTATTTTGATAATTCTTGGTGAATTGTTCCTTTTATCATTATGTTCTGTCCCTGTTTCTATGAATATTCCTTATGTAAATTATTTGCATTTGATATTTATGTTTTTTACAGCATTCTTGGTTAGCATGTCCCTTTCATATTTTTGCTTTAATTTTGAACTTTGTGTGACACATCTGTTTCTTTAAATTATTTTGATCTATTGTGATAGTCTGTCTTTCAGTGGGTAAATCCAATCCAATTACATTTGTTTTGATTGCTATTATTTTCAGGTTTTTTT